CCCCACTGTCTCTGGTGAATCCTCTCACCCTCCGCATCTCTGGCCTGTACCCCATTCTATATAAATAAATAAATAAATCTTAAAAAAAAAAAAAAAGAATACATGTTCTTCCCATGCTGTAAGATTTGTAAAGACTCTTCACCCCAAAAGAGACTCCTGTAGTCTAGGGGGCTGTTTATTTGGAGGCCTGCTTTCTTGCAGGGTTAAGCCAGTTTCTTCATTAGCAGCTATATCAGTGGTAAAATTATAATTCTGTCCCCACCTTATTTATGTCATCGTCATTCTCACTCAGTTCAGCTTTCACTGCCAGTTATTGGGCTCTCCAAAACAATGAGAGGGTAACTAATGTCCATATGCTTAAACTCCTTCCTAGTAGTGTGACTCTACACTTATCTCAGTACATCTCTTTAGGTTTGCTTCAGCCCATTCATAATTATAGGCAAAATTAGCACTGCTAGCAGAGTTTTAACCAAGTAGCCAACTCTCCTATGTGGTGTTGCCCCAGAATTCATTCTAGAAGAGGATGAGAGCACACTGGAATGTTGTCAGAGCACTATTCTCAATGCCATATTACATTACATGGAAGTTTCTATTAGTAAAATGCCATTTCTTAAAGAGGCCCCAAATAAGATATGTTTTGTATGTATTTCCACTCTACTGTAAATAATGTCAATACTGTACAGTTGACATGTCATTTGAAAAGTTTGTCTATGGTGCTTGTGAAGCAGCATGCAGAAAGAATCATACAAATTGATGATGGTGAAGCATCAAAGTGTTGGTAACAGAAAAATTTCAATTTTCCCACTGATATTTGTGATTCAGCTGTCAGGTACAGTATCTCCCCTGGACTTCCTTGTTAGAAACTGACTTATAGGTTTTAACCCTAGATCTGTCGATTGCACTTTGACTTAGGAAAATTGGCTAACCTACCTGCGTTATTTGGGTTCTCCTGAAAGCAGAGCCTGAGATAGGAACTGAGTAAAATAATTTACTTTAGCGATTATTTCAGCAAGCAGAGGTAGGAAAAGTGACACTTGGAAAAAAGAATAGTGGAATAACGGCTACAGTCGTGATTTGGTTGCTGCCTAAGGCAATTGGCACTCAGCTGTGCTGGGGATCTTCAGAGGGGCATCTGCATGGACAGTTTCATCACAAGATGGCAGTAAAGGTGCATTTACCTCCTGACACTGGCTCCTGGTGATGGAGTGTGGCTCCTGGGTACATTAGCTGCACCTAACTTCTTCCAAATTGCTCTGTGGGTGAGCAGCTTCCCTAGGATTCAGAGAAACTTTTGAAGCAGTGAAGCAGAGAAATGCTGAGGCCCAGAACTGATATGGAACCTGACAAGATGGGTGAAAACATACATTAAAGATGTTCTGAAATCAGGTCTA